ATATAAAAATTAAATTAAACCAAAAATAGAGTAAAATTAAATAAATTCAAATAGAATGCAAAAATTAAATTAAATATTGAAAAATCAGAATACAATAGAATGAAGTAAAATAATAAATGGAATAAAATTATATAGCGAAAAAATTTTAATTCTGCTCGATTAAATAGGAAAGGGGAAGCTTAGAAAACTGTTAAATATATTATTAATTTATCGAACAAATAAAGAAAATCAAACAAATGTGCCGTTTTTCAGAGAAAAATTAGTTTAAAAAAATAGGTTTACCAGCAATTTTAGTGAAAAATGTTTTCTGTCTGTTTTTTATATTAAATTGAAATAAAAAATCATATTTCTCTAAAATTTATTTCGTTAAACTGGCTATTCGAGTATTTTGTCATTGCAAAAATTTGAAATTAAACTTGAGGAAAAAAATCAATATACTATTTTTTTTGGTTCACCCAAAATATTTACGTATGTATATATGTACGGTCCTTAAAATAACACTTTTATATGTAAAAAATGAAAAAAATCCAACAAAATTTCAGCTTCGCCAATTTTTCAGCTCTTCTATTGTGTTTGTATGCCAAACAAATGCACTTTTTGTGCCACATATTTATATGAATATACATATTCGTAAATAAGTAAAATTTCGATACATAAACACTACCTACGCACGTTTAAGCGTAGTACATATATATGTATGCTGTGAATGCAGTAACGGCCCTGCATTTATGTACGAGTATCTACATACATATGTACAACACAGCATAAATCAATTTCGTATGCCATTCACTCTTCCGATTCCGTGTATTCCACTCACATAATACATTTTTATTTATACTTTATGTGTATATGCGTACATACATATGGGAATTTATTTGCACATTTATGCAGATGCACACTAGCATACATATCGCACACCATCTTCCAAAGAGGCAAGACTCAAAATTACACGTTTGGCAGAAAATGCTAAAAACTATTTCTTAGCACATGATGATGATATGGGCAAGGGAGACTTTACCTTAGTTTTTTATGAAAATTATAACCAAAAATTTGCTCCAGCTGTTGCTGAAAGGTAAGTAAACGCTTTGTGTACATTTTCAGCGCATTATTTCAAAAATTCCAAATTTTGAGTTGTGCCTCTTTGAAGACGGTGTGCGATATGTACCTTCGCTGTTATTTTACTAATGCGCTACTTTTTGTACGCACACCAGCATACCGCACCTCTCTCCCTCGCTCGCTTGCTGGTGAGCTGCATTCATCAAATAGCTTTTATTTGCGCTAAAATAGTACCAGCTGTTAGTTTCCTTTTATAAATAATTTAGTTTTTTTTTACTTTATTTTATTATTGTTTTTTTTTTTTATTTTTTCCAATTTTTACTTTGTATAACAGCGCCACTATGCCGCTGTGGTGTCTCAAATTTTAATTGAAAGTGAAATTTTTTCCATTGACTGGCAGTGCAGAATATGGTATTTATTTGTGCCTTTTTTCTTTCGTTATTTTGCTATTTACTAAATTTTGCGCAAATTTTGTATTTACTTTATTCATGCTTATATTACTAATAGGTTTTTTCTTTTAAATGATCGCTTCTTTTTTGGTTTATTTTTTTATTTTCTGATTGACTTAAACTTAATAAACCATTTATCTTATTACGTGAAAACCGAAACAAATAGAAGAATCAGGGGATTTTTACAATGAAAAAATATGTATGTTAGTTATCGTGGAAGTATGTCAAATTTAATTATAAATACATTAAGCATTTGAGGGAATAGTGATACTGTATATATGTATGTATAACTAAAAAAAAGAGAGAAAGAATATGAATATGAGCAAATGTCGTTTTTTTTTTATAGAGGAGAGGAATATTAGTGCTAAATATCTACTACATATTTTGCTCGAAAAAAGAATTGCGGGGCGATGGCCGAAGAGAAGGCAGACCTGAATACCTCTGCTTTGGGTGTCAACTAACTTGTGATTGTGACAACTTTTGGACATAAAATATCAATAAAAAAACATTAATGTCATGGATTAAAATTTTCTACATGTTTATTTATTAATTTTTTATCTCTTTTTTAACATTAATATTTGTTTATGTGCATAGCTAATAAAAAGTGAGGTATTTATTTATCGAAATCCCACAAAAGAGCTGGTTATTTTTATCAATTGATGATTTTTTACTGCAGTGAGGAACTTTATTTGGCACTGCAATATTGTCTTATTGTATTGTAGAGGGTAACTCTAGAAATAAGTATGCGGGAAACGCCTTCACTACCTACTCTCATGGATGATTTTTTACTTTTTAATAAGAATGTTTGATCCTCTCTGAAAATTGGACAGCCCCGAAAGCATTACAGAATTTTCCATCATTTATTTGCCTGGGCACAGCGATGCTGAGGATAACTGCTGACAAACTGAAAGGGAAATGTATGACCACTCACATTCTTCGGTCAACGGAAGATAAAAAAGTTCTTAGAGTTCACTTTACTTACCTAATTAACGCTGGCACAAACCTTGGCATACACCTATCGTTGACTGCAGTGCAGGTCAAGAACATAAAAGGAGTAAATTTTCAACACCTTTTCTACCATTGGCTGGTTTTAAGGCAGAAGCAAATTTCCCACGCTTGGTAAACCATTCTTTGAAGTTCTCGCAGAGATTTTACAGGTGGAAATAAGGACTTTGGCAAGGCGTCTACAAAGTGGTTGGTTCCCGTGTGCGATTTTAACTTTACTTTTACTCAATAATATCACAACGGGCCTGTACTGGTCTATTTTTGGGGGTAATCTTCTCATAATCTATTTAAAACTTTCCTAACCTAACCTTGGGAAGTTTAAACGATAAATTCTTAATAGTATTAAGTTATTATAGTATAGTAAAAACCTTGACAAAAATGTAATTTGAAATTCAAAAACATTGCGAAACTCTAAAATAAATAACCAAATTACCGCATTCGATAAAGAAAGAAATTGGTGTAATTTGTTAAAAAAAAAAAATAGCAAACTGCAGCGCGACCGCCCTTTATGAATTTTCTATTTTTCTTGAGAGCTGGAGTGAAGCAAAGCCAACTTAGCTTTGGAAATGCTTAAATGCAATAAATAAATTATCTAACTTAAATATATAGACTCCATGCCCCTACCATGATGACCTACATATGTCCAAAAGTTTAAAACAATACAATGGAGAAACAGTACGTAAAATCAATAGACATCGTACTTCTCTCGATACATCCGGCCACCCATTCTAAGTTCAGTTCAAAAAACTACTTGCTGGAGGATCTGTATGTACTGATAATTTTCAACCTTGATAAACTAAATTTTTACGCTATACAGTTGTAAATTTTTAACCTTGCATTTCAGCATGCTCAATTAAGGTTCTATTAATAGGTTCTAATAAAATTAATTTTTTCCGCTCAGTTTACTAAATTAAAAAGACATGTAAATATCCATTATTTGCAGCCTTTTAATTCACTAACATTGCTGCACAAACATTCAAGCACCTACATAAATATACATATGTAAATGTAAATTCCTGAATTTGTTGGTTGAATATTTACACCCTTTTTATTACGGCCAATCATTAGCATTAGCATTCAATTTTTATCTACATTATGACCTTCACAGCGATCACTACAAAATTCTGCACAATATGCAACTGATCAAATAATAAGAATGTTAAAAGACAAAAAAAAAGAATAATAATACTAAACAATTTAATATGTTAAGTAGTTAAAATCATTCATTAACAATTACGAGTGCATTTGGGGCTTTGCATGCAAAGGTGGGGTTTGATGGTCAATATTTTAATTAGCACACTAAGCACTCTTTCTATACATGTAAAAAAATTGTAATAGGCCGATGTCTGTGCATTATAGTTATTAAAGAAAAATGAATATCTGGTATCTTTATTTGAGTAACAGAAGCCAAATCAAAAATCTTTAGAACTTTTTTCTGTTTGTACGCGCATCACTCGAAAACTAATGCATGGAATAGAATGCAGTTTTCACCCAAGTGTTGCTCGAGGACTTACTTAAAATATAGAAGAACAAAATTATAGAGTGGCAACCTCTTTGAACATTGCAGTTTAGGTAAATTGATAAGATAAATTAAGTATTGCGATAGGGCTGTTAAATGAAAGAGATTTAAGAGAGCTTGCAGCAAAAAAAAATTTTGTGGAAGGTTGCCACCTGTTTTTGGAAATTTTAATTAAATTAAATTAATAATATGGGTGTCAAACTGAAGAAGTTTAGGAAAGTTTACTGTCGAAGCGGTTTGCCACCTAGTTGAAAAACTTAATTCAGTTAAATTGATAAGATAAAGTAAATATTGAATTAATACACCTCTAAACAAAGTGCGTGATATGTAGACTCGCGTTATAAGATTATAAATAAAATTTCCAGGAGAAAGCCGATACCCTACCTACTTTCCAAATACATTCGAAAATATATTAACTAACATCCACATTTATAAAAACTAAAGAAAGCTGCATTAATCGAAAATTTATTTAAAAATCTCCCTTCAAAAAGTTCTTTAATTCTATTCTATTTTTTTTTATGAATAAGGCCATGAGAGTTTTGGGAGGGCATAACAACCCAAATATACTTTCAAGGCTCAGTAAAGCAAGCCGGGTATTTGCTAATTAAAAAAAAATAGAAAGAGAGTAGGATAGAGTTTATTTAAATAAAATTTGCAAATTTATATAAACAAAAGCAAATAAAATTTCGACATTAAATATATTAAGAGAACTAGTTAGTATTAATAAAAAAAAAATAAAAAATAACTTTTTTTTAATGTTTTTTGGTTCGCATATATGATTTTAGTGAAGTTTTAGTTGCTTTCGAAGCTTAAAAACCGTTTATTTGTGCGAGAAACTAAACTCCAAGTTAGCACTACTCCTTAATTATTTTTATTTATTTTTAGTTATATCTATGTTCTTTACGTTACTTTAATTTTCACTTTTTTGAACTTAATTAATGAAATTATTTTGCTTTTTTATCTCTTTTCAGTTAATCTTTTAGAAATTAATAAATTAATTAGGAATCAGCATCAATATTTTTAACAAAATGTCACACAACATTGCAATTTTATTGGCGATTGTCGCGTCAATTGTCACAACATGCACATCACTGCCAGATGTAAGTACAAATGAAAAATTAAGATTTTTTTTAAATATATTTAGTTGAATGGATTTTATTAGAAAAAATATCAGGTCTACTGTAAACATACCAAGTCAAAAACCATACTTATGTAAGCAGAAGTAACGACTGGTTAAATGTTTCAGCAAGACCCTAGGCTGGAATATTCGGACCCAGGACCAGGGTCGCTTTTCGTATGAGGAAATATCCGAGCATTTTCAAGCGGAAGTTTACTGCATAGATATCTTTGTGCGGAGGCAATTATAACAGCCCTCTTATCTTACGAAATCAAGTCATGATTAGTCATTGACTGCATTGAGAAGCTTAACTTCCTTGGTAAGCACAGTCGTATCCAGTTAGCGTGGATACCTGGCCCAAGAGGAATATGGGCTAATAAGTAAGCAGACTGTGACGCCGGAGAGGCAGCAACCATCTTTCTAGTTGGTTCCGAGCCCTTTCTGGGTGAGTCCCAATACTAGTAAGGAGAATCGTGGGTGAGGGACTGACAGAGGAATATAAACTGGCATAGTTTGATAGAAATGCGTCAGGCAAAGAGTTTACCCTGAGGGTATAACAAGAGGATATTCCAAAGCTTAATTAACTTGCCAGAAGAGAAACTTAGAACACTAACACGTATCCTTACAGGAAACTGTATGCTAAGAAGACATCTATAAAATATATAAGCTGGGGTTATAGTCAAATGATCTTTTCTGCGAACGATATTAAACATTGTGGACATATCCCAGGTCTGTTACGCCATGCATCCGTTCTGATCATCGGCATTATTCCCAACTCGTTATATTCAGAGTTAGTGAGGTATTGGAAATATCGGAAGCAAAGTATTGGTGATGAACTCCTTCGGCGAATAACGTGGCACGAAAAGCTATAAAATGACAGACTTCACCTGAGATGTCTATCGAAATCAGGATGGTTTGCAGCACTAAAGTTTTTTCAACGCACTGGCTGATCGATATAGAAAACTTACTAACAAAAATATTACCACCCATTACGTAATTCACGAACGCTTTTACTGATGGCCGCACCCTTTGTAGGTAATGACTACAGTGATAGTGACTGCCCGCCTCAGGAAGCTCTACCCCAGATATAGCTCACCTCTTTCGTGAACAAGCCGAACGAGATATTCTTAAGAGTGCCGAAAGAATTTTGTAGAAGCCCGTTCTGGTGGCGTTGCTAATGAAATTGGCTTACTTTCGTTAGAAAAATCAGTTAATTGAAAGAGTTCTACCTACAAATGAAAAAAATCATATTAATCAGCCCCTGAATTTCTATTGCTTTTACTCCTCGCCACCACGTATAGACCTAGTTTAAATTTTATGCCAACTAGAAGAAAAATGTATCTGGCCAGCTGCCCATTAGATTAGTCGCGTACAACATGACTACCTTCCAAAACGAACGACACTTACATGATTACACGCACTCGTGATTGGTTACGCTTGGCCGCGTCATTAACAGCCGGCACGTAGCACTGAATGCCAAACAAGAAATAAAGGTAACGAGAAGCAACGAAAAAAATATATAAAAAATAAATAAATAAACAATCAAAAGACTTAAGGCACAAACCTGCAGCAGCAGTAAAGCAATGTCAGAAATGACGTGCCGACCAGCGTGCCAATATGCAAAGCAGGTGAAGGAGGAAAATGATAGAGACAAAGAGATTGCATGCAAGCAACATAGAAATACATACATAAAATAAATGCGTATATTATATATGAAAGCTATGGTTTTTCTAAGCTAACAATAGATTGTATGCAGATTTGCAGTAGGGGGGACCTTAAAATACCAACATCTAAATTTTGTATCGGGCACCCCTTAACAAGTTTTAAATTTTTAATACATTTTAGAGGTCGATACGAGGGTTAGAAAATTTTTAATTTAATAAAGTTGCAAAAATTCACAAAACTTCAAATCTGATAAATTTGACATATTATTGCAACTGGTGCATATAAAATCATAAACTCGCTCAGTTAAAACTGATTAAAGTCATTTTTTCGAATTTAAGCGATTTAAAAAAATATAATAATTTTTCAAACCCGCAAGCTTGAAATTTTTTTAATTTTGAAATTTTCTTAACTGTCTTTATTTTGTACGCAGAACAAAATAAAGCGGTGAACCATGATGTTAATATTTTTGAACCACCCTAACGTATATAAATTAAAATACGTTTGTAATTAGTTATAAACATTAGTCAGTGCTATGGCAAAAAAAAAAAAAACGAAAAAAAAAATAAAAAACATGAAACAACTAAATTAGTAGCAGAAGGGCGCCACCCGCTGCAAGCCAAACAACAAGGCAAATGAGGTAGCTACCAGCCAAGCTAATAACGCATTTAGAAACGGCTTCAGGCCAGATGTGCATGTGGTTACATATATTTTGATAGCCATTTTGATACTAGTATAGAAGGTCGTCAATGCGGTTGACTAATTTGTATGATCGTTACCATTACTTTTATATATTTTTTTCCTTTTTATAAGTATTTCTACGGCCTATGCGCTTACTTGCCTACTTGCCTTGTTATTGGTGTAATTTGTACAAGCGGTCTACGCAGGCGCATACGCACTTCGATGTCAATGAACATGAGCACTTACTCATACCTACACTTGCGCGCTCAGCTTTTTAGCTTGCTTGTTGAATTGCACCACGTCAAATGGCCTATTGTTTTGTTCTCGTTTTACTCGACTTCCAGTTGTGGCATTACTTTTGAATGGGCGTTTAATTGTTAAGAAAAAAATAGTAAACGAGAAGCCATTTTGGTTGACATGTTGCATTTATATTATGTATGTATATGAAGTTTACATTAAATAAATTTTGTCTTTTTATAGTAGTTAAACTATATTTCAGCAAATTTTTGGTATATTAGTTATTCTTGAGTACTTTACTCAGCTTAGAGGCCAATTTAAAAAAAAATTAGCTAAAGCACGAAATTCGTTTTAAATTAAAATTATTAATTTCTTGTTGACCTCAGCAAATAAAACAAAAAATCATTACTGCTCTTATATGCTTGCCAAAGTAGCAATTAAGCGTAGAAGATAATTATATTTTATTTTAAAGCCCCGAAGATTACGGTCAAGGCCGTGTGATTCGATACTTCATTGAGCAGATGCATTTGGATTTTTTCTTTGGTCTTTTGGGCAAGAAGTTTGAAAATCATCTGAGAAAGAATTTGAAGGACCGTGAAGAGCAATACAAGTGCCTATGGGATTTCTGCTCTCACAACTTGAGGAAAAGAGCACAGCAGATAACCCTAAGTATCGAGTTAACCCTCGATGAACGACAATGAACACGATTCCTGCTGAGACGCTCCAAACTATGCCTGCAGTTCCTTACTGCATCTACAGACTCCTTACAGAGTGGTATATTATTGGAGATTGGGCCAGTAGATTACGAACTCCAATAAACGATTTCTATAGCAGCTTGAAAGATCAGAAAAAGGCAGCATAAATTGACTACTTTATGTGGGAATGCCACTTAATGAGAAAAATTCGACTCAGCTTTTGGAAGACAATTTTATTTTAAGGGCTTGACTAGTTAAGACAATCGCCACTTAAAGGCATGTGATGCCAACAAGCAATGCCCGGTTGGCAACCGCTATCATCTTTCTTTCTGAGGGATAAAAGCCTTAATTTTTATACCCGAGCGCACTTGTGCACAAGGGTATTATAACTTTGTTCACATAACGGTTGTTTGTAACAGGCAAAACGAATCGAGATAGATATAGACAAATGTATACATAAATGATCAGAATGAAAAGAGAAATCGATTAAGCGGTGACTGTCNTAGTTCACATATTTCCTCTCTGCTGGACCATTTACAGGTCATGCTCCAGTTTTATTGCTTCGGCATATCTTCTATTGGATAGTCTGTCTCCTCTTCGCTGGCATTGACGTCAGTGTGCCCGGCCAGCTAATAGAAGTCTGCACTCTACCACACTTCTTGAGAAAGTGCTATCCGATAAAATTACCTTTATTGCAGCTTACCTGTCAAAGATATTAACTTTTCCATCATCTGGCTACTAATCAGTAACTGCACCACCCTCCATCAAGCCTGGCAGCAGTGTCAGTGTCATTCCCAATATTTGTGTTAAAAAAACATCCCACAATTACGAAAATTTTGCGCAAATTAGAAAAAATTTAAGCAGTCACTTTTTCGCATTCAAACTCACATGGTATGTACATTAAAGCGTATCACCTTGCAAGCAAAGACAAAAAAGTGCGCCGTACACCCCTGAGTCTAAAGTGTTTTTGCAAGGTAATTAAAACAAAAAAATGTTGTCCTTACCCAGGGGGTTTTTTCGAAATTACCTTGCCAAAATACTTTAAACTCAGGGGTGTATGACGAACTTTTTGGTTCTGGTACGGTCTAATGTACATGTGACTAATTATACATTCCCACAAACGTAACTAAATATGAGTACATTACTGTTTGTGTACTCACGCAAAATTACACAATTGTGTTAATAAAACTCATCCTTCTCGTGGCCTTAACAATTTTGCCATAGTTGAGGGTCAAAGTCAAGTTGCTGTGTACATTCGTCAGCTGGTAATTCTTTGCAGTTATGCATATTTACAAACATATTTACTTGGGAAAAAATAAATTTGAATTCATAGGTGTGCATATGTGTGTATATATGTGTGTTGTAAAACAGTTGTGCATATACATATAAACCAACAGTAAACTAAGAAATACATTAACATGACTTTTTAAATTGGCGATTATACAAAATAGATTGCAAGCTTCCTGAAGGTTACTGCTGCTAATGGTATTTTCGTAGAATTGATGTGCATATCAAGCCTTAACTGGGAAAATAATTTAAATGATATATATATTTTTAAATTTTTTTATGCCCTAAGAAAACAAAACTAAAGAAATTTCGCTTAAGCCTTTTTCCCCCCGGTTAGTGCTAGATATACGCCATGCAGCGTCGTCGGCCCCAAGTTGCTGAATCAGTTTCACGTGGATCACTGATCGCTTAAGCATGACTT